GTTTTCTCCTTCACAAAAGCCTTGCGATAGAGCAGTATGATTTTGTATTTCATAGACACAAAACAAATTTGCATTGCAAATTATGAACAGTTTTAAAGAATTGTGTATGTACAGCTGCAGCCACATTTGACAAACAAAACAATCTGAAGCACAGGAAGGAATTGTTATAATCAAAAGCTGCTGGGYAATACAGACTGCTTAGAATATTCATTATTGTTCATGATTTTGTGAAGTCAACAGGGAAGAAAAGTTGCACAGATAGCAATATCAGCAACACAACCTCATTTTCTATGAGGCTGAGACCTAGCTCAGGGATGGTGAACTAGATGTTCACCTTTTAATTTCATCATTAAAGCAACAAATGAGTAAACCTAATGATCATAGAAATGAGAGTCTGAGAGCATAGATTTTACTGAGACTGAATATGCCTCTGCAGATGGAAACAGTCATGCAACTGCTTTGCTCCTGTGCTGCTGTATCTAGATTTAAGACATATTAAGGCTACAAGCAGTCTAGCTGCGCTAGGCTAGCATGAACTAAATAGCCTGGTCATTTATTCCATCTGTCTGAACATTGCTGGTGGCTTCCATGTGGCGCTCCACTTTTTCTGATTTGTAAATTCCAGACAGACCTGGGCATCTCCTAGATGAAAGATATTGCTGGTATTCTCTCTTTCCCCACTTTTCAGAATGGAGATTAACTGTTGGATGTGCTTCCTTAGATTGTGTTTTGTGTTCCTAAACTATAACAACACATTTGATTTCTCAGTTTTTGACATCAAACACAGCCAAATGATCCTGATCTCTGAAGCTATTATTTAAATTTATAATAATATGCTGATCCGAATTACTCCTTTAAAAAGCTTTTGTTTCTGCAAAAGCAAGCCTGGAAATCGATCCTTTGTAAGGCCCAGCAGGTGAAACTGTACCTCAGTTAAATGAGTTGAGTGATTTTTTTCCAGTTAGGTATTCAGGGAGTTACTGCTTGATCATAAGGGGAAGGACTTCAATCATTGGGACGTTAAATCCATTTAGACACTGTTTGAATGTGGGGAAATTCAGGATGCTTAAGAGCAAGAAAGGGAGAATCAAAGCATTTCTGAATATTTGGAAAAAGGAAGATGTAGGGTATACTTTGATAGCTAAAAAGAAGAAGTAGGAATTGAGYAAATTCTTAAAGAAAAAAAAATCAGGCTAGAATTTACTCAAGAAAAAGGCAGATTAAGAGTTGATGGAAAAAATAGAAGTTCCCTAGGATCTGCTAATGACAGCTACTCAGTTTCCCCTCTCTCACCAAGTAAATACATATATATATATATGTATATATATGTGGAGCAGTAGAGAAATATATGGAATGATCCCTAATACTCTAGTAACAAGACTTCTTAGACCAGTATAATTTTTCTGTTCTCTCTTGACATTTTAAATAAGATATATGTGCTGGTAGATGTTTCAAATTTTAAATGATGACCTACATAGTGTAATATGTCAGAAGAGCATTCCTCTGTCGACATTCTTCTGAATGAGAAATGTGCTACACAGCATGTACTACTAAATGTTAATAGCTCTAAAGCTACACAAATTGTAAATTTATTGAATTGTGTTAATAATGAGATGAATTCTTAAACTACTCACAGCATTCTGAAATGGTTGTAACCTGAGCAGAATTAAAGGTGCCATAATATCCTGAACTGACAGGCAAGAAAGACCTTTTTGCCAGGTGATCTCAGTAAAGAGAACAAACCATTCTCCAGCTGGACAGTAGATTGGTTTGGGGAATTCAACTGAAAGACAAGGCAACACCTTGATTACAGTACATATATGGTCATATTCTTATAGTGGCTTACTTATGTGAGGACATGAAAATGTTACACAAGAGAGAAAATATATTTGATTTTTTTCCCCATGTTTTAGTGTTGGTATCTCGCCTAGCATTCAAGAGACTGACAAGTGTATCTGATCTTTTTGCRATCTGCTATTTGCACTAGCTTATATGGCCATTTTATAACTTTCAGAGTTACCATGAATCTCTTCAACTAGTAATATCAAGTAGCTCACTAGAAAATGCAGTTCAGGTGAGAGAAGAAATTAGAATCTGCTGTGCCTTCCCAGCATCATTATGGCTTTGGAAACACGAGCAAATACTGGTCATGATGACTGTGATTTATGAGTTCAGCACAGGTGGCACGTGGTGTCTGAAACATCAGGTGAGCTCAAGRCTGTGGGCTTTCTAATGAAGGGGGATTCCTGCACCGAGCAGTGTACTCGTGTTGACTTAGACAAGGGATGTTAGGCACCCTGTCTCTGAAATCTGGTCTCTGTCACCCTTGCTCTAATCTTCCCCAGACAGAGAGGCAACAGTGGAATCCATCTTCTCCAGGCCTGATCCCTCCCTATGCCACGTGGTGCTTCCAGCAGTGCAACTCCATCCATATGGACAGTGCTCCTGCTGTGCACAGCTGGAGCAAAGCATCAGCTTCTCAGTCGCTTATCTACTGCTGTAAAAAATAAACTCAGTTGTTCCACTGCTCCACATTTCCCAGTTAATATAGAAAGAAATAGTGACAGGCAGTAAAAATGTATTTTTTGTACTGTTGTATAACCTTGAGCACTTCGCCTTGTCATTTTTTTGTTATTTTCATCCTGACCGGTATGTAATCACACAGAGCAAACCAGATTCACACAATCACACTTCTGCATTGATAATGGGTTATACATCTGAAGATATTGATCGACTGCAAGGAAAATAAATTGAAGTAATACAAGATTTGAGAAAGCTGCTGACTACAGATAGCTGGGTCTGCAATCTTCTAGGATACTTCTTTGTTTTAGCTTATTGAGAAGCCCGGAAAATTGCAGAAAGAAATTTTCAGTTATTCCAGAAAATGTCTATCCTATTCTATTCCTAACCAGRTTGCGCTGCAGTACTATTAGAAAATATCTGAAGGAATGATAGCTGTGAGGACACCAAAGCAGCCAGACTTGAACGATGCCAATGTTCCCATGACAGTATCTTACAGGCTTTGGTGGCCAGTGCAAAGTGCAGGATGAGGAATCTTCATCAGTGCATGTTATAAGGAGCAAGCAACCAATATATATCATTACTGTTCACTGATAGCTCTATTAGAGGTATCAAAAACTGCATCATCATACATATACTTTCCACCCTTACAGGGCTGCATCTTATCTGAAGAATGAGTACAATGCACCTGTATCACCTGATCAGGAAACAGAAGATTTTCCTTTCCCATTTTCATCAGTATGATCCCTTTGATAGTAAAATTTAGTTAGAAAAGAAAAAAAATATCATTTGAACAGGATACGATGGAAGCAGTTTAAAGCTATAATTAGGGCTCATTTTGAAAATGTGTCAGGAGGTGACTCAGCCCTCTGCTGTCACTGCTGTTGATTCTTGGTCCCTGAGCTGAGTTTTCTAAAGGCAGCAACAATCATCTGCTACCTGCAACTTTCCATGGGGACAGTTCTTTCATTTTTCTTTCTCTCATTCATTTTTAAAACCCCTTTGATTTATTGCATCTTTTTGTACTCTTATTCTTGATGTCTTTCCTGCTTTTCCTATCTCCCTTCTTCCACTCTGTGTTCCTCATCATTCATGAGCAGTTAAAATCCACTGTGCTGTCCATAGTTTGATCTTGTACCACCATGTAACTCTAGAACATGATGCTTCAGGGCAATAAAAACCCACCAGCCTGCAGAAGAGTGATGCTGTTTACAGGCCAAATAAACGTAGTTGTGGACACCAGCATTTCCTTTGATCTAGTGAATGCTCTAACTTTCTCTTTGACCTCTGCCAAGTCTCTTAATCTCGTTCCTTGCTAACTGGGGCTAATTTCTATAACAAAAGGAGTTTTCTGAAAGTGATTAATATTTACATTTAAAAGGTGAAGGCACACCCTGCATTGAGTCAATCCTAAAATCAAGTGAGGTTTTTGTGTACAGGATACAATATATTCTGTTTCCTATGGAGTGAGTGTGCCAGGACTAGTTAAAAATAGCTTCTTCCATTCATTAAAGCCAGCAGATGGCCATTAATCTTCCTGAAAGTATTGATTCAAAGTACTCGTCTCCACTTTCAAGGCCCTTCACAGACTACCCTCTCTCCATCTATCATCTCTCCTTACCCAGCTGAAAAGGTGGCTGGCTTTGTAGGGGTGGCTGACAGATACAAACCAGCTGCCTCTCCTACATGCTGCCCCTCGCGTCTGGAGGGAGCTGTACACAGCATTAACAAAGCTTCTCCACTTGTCTCCTTTAAACGCTCTCCTAAAACTCTCCTATGCCATAAGGACTACATGGTCTTGCAAAGGGTCGTCTTACCATTTCTTTACTTCTCCATCTCTGATATCTCTCTGTCCCAAATTGAAGTGTCTTGTCTTATTCCCAGCTTGCAACAGCTGCAGTGCACAATCCATGTGCCATCCAGCAGAACGCTTCCCAGTGTGCTATGGCAATACACGTAGCTAATGAGAAATAATTATTAGCTCAAGTGGCCAAGAACTGCAGGGCACTGCACAAAATGGTGCACAGTGCCAAAATTCATGGGCAACAACAGACCAAAAGGAGTAAGCCTGCATGCCAAGTGTTTTGGCCGGCCTGCAATTAATCCCCGTAAACTCAATGCTGCACCTCAAAGCGGAAAGCCTGACATTCACTGAGACATATTAGCTTGGGCTCAATATTAAGCCGACATAAATAGGTTTCATGTAGATCATGATCAGCCATCCTCTAAGCTGCTGTATTCTAGTTCCCTGTGCACCAATTCCATTGATACTCATAGCCTAAAACCTGTGCTGATACCCTAAAACTGTGTTCTTTCTCTACCTGTTGGAATAGATGTGCCTCTATCATATATGATAAATAAACTCTTTTACATCTAGCACTGAGAGCCTCTTGTTTGTTTATAAGCTGTGGATTCATTGTGGTTCCTTTAAAACTAGACCAGCATACTTCACTAATATATTTATGTACCTTCTGCTCTAGTTCCAAGATCTTCCCAAAGCCGTATGGATATTGCTGAAAGAAACAGGGATGATGCTACACGCTCTCATCAGGAAGATGCTTTACAGATACCACAAAATACTTACTCTCTTCTTTCCCAAGCCCAGCTTCCAAGACAAGAAGCTACATATTTTCTGGGAAGAAATCCCATGGTCATTAGCACTCCATCCCCTACAATAAAAAGAAAGTTTTCCCAGGCTCAGACATTATCAGCAAAAAGAAATGATAAGGAGTCCATATTTCCTGAAAAACAGACTTTTCTTGAAAAAATAAAAATTAGCAGTGACACACAGACCTTCCTTCCGCACAAGGAACCAGAGCCCAAAGCAGCAACTCTCAGTATGACTACCCAAATGCCTCCTCATTTTAAACAAAGTAAAGCAGTTACAGTACAGACGGCCTCTTCTCATCTCAAGACAAACTCAAGTTCATTCTTTAGGAGCCCTCACGCTGTTCAACGAATTCATCCCAAACGTGGCTATTCCCCTAGAAAATGGCTCAGCAGGATCACGGTCTTGAAGATGGAACCACCCCAAGATTCTGGAAGAGAGCAGCAGAGAACATCCCCTTTGGCATCACACCTTGCCTCCTCACTTCATTTAACAGGTTCTTCTTTTGATACAGCTCCTTCGCATGCAAACCCCCCATCTGGACCTCTTTCCCAAGCAAGGCTTCTAGCACAGACCACAGCAATCAGGAAAGCAGAAGATGTAGCAAGAGGTCATCTGGAACTACCAAAAACCACGAGTGGGACGCAGCACCAGAAAGCGATCTGTGAGAATATCCCGTGCTTCCCTGGCGTGGAGTGCAAGCCAGCCAAGGACGGAGGTTCTACCTGTGGGCCTTGTCCTCCTGGGTACAGCGGTAATGGGACTACGTGTGAAGGTAAGAAGAATMCCTTTTCAAATACGTTCATAACTTCAAACTTAATCATTACCCGATTTAATGATTTGTAATCAAATGCTGGAGATTTTGCCCAGTGCAAATTGTATTTGTTTTCAAAGTCAATTATATTTCAAAACAGCAGAGTAAGTTCTATAACTCAAGGAAAGTTATTTCTGCCTACAAAGKGGCACACTTATTTGATAATATCTAATCTATTAAAAGCAGGGACAGATTGTGATCTTACTTTCCCTTCCTTAAGGCCAGATTCACTCTACTGAAGTCATTGTATTTGAAACCATATAAAACTTCTGAACAAAAGAATAAAATTGACTCCATTTGTCTATGTGTGTTCTAGGAAAATCCAACTGTTCTTCTATCTCAAAAATTACTTTAAATATCTAATATCCTTAATACAAAAGCAAATTTGTCATCTGAAATGCATAGCACCAGAAGGGTATTATCTACATTTTTTAAACAATGAATTCCCTGACTTAGTTGTCATTAATTATACCTTTTTATTGAAATTCCTATGATAATTGGATGTCTTAATTGGCCTTTCCTTGTTAATAACACAGCACAAAAGTGTTTTCATCATCTATTTAATTCCTTTTTGCATATGGTTTCCCGTGCTCCATCCCCACACAGTGCAGTTTTAGGTGTTGGGGGGGTGATGCACTGCAGGGATCTCCCTGATACCAGCCAATCTTTGGGGAGGGTTTTAAAGCCTCTTGGACTGCATTAACCCTTGATACTTGCAGCAGATCTAGGGATATAGTACAAAAGACATGAGAAAAGGTTACTATAATGTAGGGTGCTGCGATTTTCACCCATTTGCACACTTCCGAAATGTGTCTTTTAAAGGACTTAAGGCAGATGGACCTGTGAAGGTCCCCGTCTTTGACCTCCTACTCTGCACCTGAGCTGGAGAAGTAAAAAACTTGCCCAAGTCTTGGCAAATCCAAAGCAAGTTTGACTGCAGTATGGCCACCTCTCAAACGCAAGGCCTATGTATATATCTGTATTTAAAAATGTGGACATATGGGCACTTTGGGTRTGAACATTTTTAGTATGACAAACAATATAATACTTAAAACACAATGTAGCTCTGCCTTCTACTGTCTCACAAGATATTTTCCTCCATTACTGGTATTACTGCAGATGTCTCTGGAAGGTCTGTAAGATGAAATACTTTATTGCCACCATCATTCACTGTGTCAGRGTTTGGCTGCCTAAGACACAAACATCATGTGTCACTTGTCACTGGCCATATCACCTGGCTAAGTAACAGGCCTGTCTGCTCCACAATTCTACTTCATCACAAGTCACCTGCATGTCACTGTCCTGAAATACAGCCCAAAACATCTCCACGGTTGGATGTGTGTAAGAAACATCCCTTGCACATCTAGCTGTTCACGTTTCATCCCATGTCAGATGCAGCTGATTCATGGGATTAGGAAGATGAGGATAATTTCTTGCTTTAAGGACTGCCATAACCTCTGCTATGACACCACACAATACAGGCACAATTGTACAGATTTCCCTTCCCTAAGAACGGATCAGCATCTTACCTCTCCTCTGCCTTCCTTTTATTAAAATCACAGATTCCAAGTTGGAGTAGACCTCTGCGGAGCATCTGGTTTAATCTACTACCTCTTTTTGGAAGAACACAGATAGATTTCATTGTATTTGGCTTCCACTTAGCCATCTAAACTGAAATATTTTCAGCAGCTCTTAGAAATCTCCATTTAGATCACAGCCTTACTTACCGACAACGTCTCAGTATGTTAGAACTAGGACCTTCCTTCTACCCCTCTTGCTTTGGCTTAATCAATATCACAGGCTCTTAACTCTCCTACACTTTCTGGCATGAGCTAATTACCCTGCAGATGAACTGAGATGAAGCAGCTTCCTCAAGGCTCAACTCATCACTTTCCTGCCCTTTCCCAGAGCTGGTCAAGTTTGCAGTTTATAAAGGTCTCCCTGCGTGAAGGCAATATTATCATTTATTAGAGGCCTAATGTTAAGACTAGCCTGTGTGCAAGGTCTCAAAATGCATCAATTCAAGGGAGCACTTTGGAGAGAGCCATTATCACCTACCCAAAATAAAATAAAACAAAAGTGAGTAGGAGAAGTACGGCCTCCAGCAGTCTAGTGGATTCTCTTGCCTTTTCTCTTGTGCTTGCTTGCTTTTATGGAATAAACTCAGCTAAGTGTTCCCTAGTGGCAAGGGAGGTTGTTAAGTGGACCCATCCTCTCTCCTGCAAGTGTTCCTTTCAAGGACACCTACCATAAAACCAATACATCACGATGATGATACACTTTTTGCAGTTTTACAGAACAGTGCCTTTCACTTTCCAAAGTGCACTGCAGAAGTGTCATACGCATTCAGTGAGCTTTATTTGAGCTTTATATTTTTCAGTTCACTATGTCAATTAAAAAAAAAAAAAAAAGCACTATGCTTCAATAATTTCTAACAGGGCTGTTTTCCCAATATTTCTTATACTTTGTCTAATACATTAAAAGTGGAAAGTGTAACAAACACATTCCCACATAGCATTATATATGCAATCTATTTGCTAGGATGTTGTTGGGAGGCATCAGTCACCCTAGAGCAATTACTCCTCAAAGACATGGATCTGCTCTATGAAGAAAAAATACTGTCTTTTCCCTGTGTTTTTTTTTTTTTTTTTTTAAATAGGGTCTGTGCACGTGTTACTGTCTGTGAGCAGCTGTTATACTTCTTGGGTTCCTTAGGGTTCCCTGAGGTGCAACATGTCTTTTCCGTTCTATAACAGTTGACCCTAACAAAAACTTCTGCTCTGGGTGTTTTTACTGTGCCCTAAATCTAACTAAGAGTCCTAAACCTGAAGACTGAAGAAAAACAAGATTTTAAACCAAATTCCTAGTCATCTTTGATTTTCTTAACTCCAAGTTTGTTAAAAACAGAATGTCTGGTTGCTAAAACTATACAATTAAAAAGTCAATGACTCAATTCTGTAAAATATAGGCAATTCTCCTGGAATAGATGACAGTTAATTTTTTTTTTTTTTTTTTTTTAGTCATAACAATTCCTTGGAAATCCTATGAAGAATAAAGTCTTGCTATTCTAGAAATAGGTATTTTTTTTTAATGTGAAGGCCATAGAATTCGGGCATATTTTGCTATTTTCTGAGCAGAGGGAAATCTACTCCAGAATGGTGGCAGCCGTGCTCAAGCAATGAAAACACAGCATTGCCTTGACATATAAACCAAGTAACTTTCAAATTAACAGGAAAGACCAAGTATTTAGGAATGAATTATGATCTCAGGAAGCACAGCTGGATGAAACAAAGAAAAAAGTCTGGTGGCTGCATTAGACTCAGGGCATTTTTACACGCATTTTTACACACTTAAAGCATATTAGACCACAGCAGACCAAAAGTTCATCCCCCTATCACCAACCGCTACCAACAGCAGATGATCAACAGTATATGAAAAAAATATGAGGATACTGTTCAGAAGGGTCTCACAACAACTTACGGATCATGGGCTTCCAAGTAGAAGCCTTTTAGTAATATCTCTCTATATATATTTCTTCTGTGACTTTTTCCAAATGCTTTTGGAATCCATATAATTTTTTTTGCCTGCAGTAATACCAATGAGCTATACAACTACRTGCTGTTTGGAGGATTAGCTCCTTCTTTTAAACTATCTGCCTGCTAGCTTTACATCTTCCCCTTTTGTACTGAGAGAGCAAAGCAATTGTACCCTATTCAACTTTTCCAGGCCACTCATGATTTTGTATTTTTATGTCCTATACCCTGCAAGTGATTTGACTCCCTCCTTCTCTATTCTTCAATTTCCAAAATTTTCTTGTTCTTACATAACTCTGGTTATCCCTCTTACTTTTTTTTTCCCTATATCTTTTCCAGTTTTACTATATCTCTTCCAAGTTGGGGGAGTCAGAATTGAACATGGCATTTGACATGCTGCTCACCATGGGTATAGGTCGTAATAAAGTCTGGCATTTCGTGCTCTGTTCCTTTCCTAACAGATCCTTAAATTCTATTTGCTTTTTTGACTGCAGATGAGCACTCAGCTGACATTTCACAAAAAAAAAAAAAAAAAAAAAAAAAATCCATTAGTACGGTCTAAGTAGAACTGTTGTCTGCAATTTTATTCCCAATTTATCTAGTCAAATAATCTAGTTAATTTTCCATTTGATATGATGGGCATTTATTTCCTTACTGGACTCTGGACTGCCAGACTATTTAAGTAAGCACAAGTTATTATAGTTGCACTAATAAATGACATACAGTGCTGCCTAAAAGACCAGCATGGGATATATACAGTGCAGCGTACATATTTTCCTGTCTTTGAGTGGCACAAGCCCCAGTGTAAAACAAAAGTCGTGCCTTACCTAATTAAGTGATTGTTTAGCATGTGTACTTTAATATCTGCAGCTTAGTTACTTGATTTATCCACAGCAGTCTGTTAAAACCCACACGGAAGGCACCTGGAATACAGGTTGCTGAAAAATGAAGCAGTTGGCCAGACCTGCCAGGTCCGTCCAACTTCGATTTGATTGTAGAAATCTTGACCTGCTCCCATTTCCTCTCTTCCTCTCTTAATGATGACTTTGCTGTCATCTAAGGAGGACCACGTTGATGCTTGGCAATGAGCCCATCTCTGTATCTAGACACCTCCAAACACAAGCATGTAATTAGAGGCACTGGCAAGAATAGGCACTAAATTAAATAAGGCACTAAACTTCCACCGATCTTTATCGACTTGCCAGTCTGATGCTACATAATATCACTACTTTGTGGCCTAAGTAGTATAAGATATTTATTCAGGATGACTCTTCCACACAGTGGAACAATTGTTCAACTCCGAGGATCAAATACATTCCTAGAGCAAATACAAGAGATACATATATCTGAGGGTCGTACATCTCATCTTTAGTACTGTACAAAGATCTCTACGTGCTGCTGTTCTTCAGTTTCCTGWGACTGAATAAAAGCCATCAGGGCAAGGGCAGATTTCAGTCCTTTCTACCTTTTCTTTCTCTCGTTTTGGGAAGTTGAATATTTCAGTGATTTGCTAGAGTGAAAACAGGAGTGGGCATATCCAGGGCCTCACATGCTGGGCYACATAGACAGTTTATTCACTGTTGAGACACCAAGCAGCACATCTGTCCTGTCGCCACTTACTGGTTATGAATTTAGAAGCAGAGGAAACAACAGAGCATATATTTCCGAGTACCCCCAAAGTTATCATGGAGAAACCTAGGAAAAGTGCAGGATCTCATCTTAAAATAAAAATATATATGCAATGAAAATATTTTAATGGAAAAAAAAATGTAGTTTCAGGGTATTTTCCAAAAAGCACTTTCAAAGAAAACAATAATGGACTTTTCTATTTCTCATCTCCGGATTTTAAATTATAAACATAAACATACATATATTTGACAGGAAGATTGACCATTTGCAGCAATGCTTTTCTCTTTACTGCTATTTTATACCATCCAAAAACGTTTTGTATAAAAACCCTGCAATACCTTTGTACAATTTAGCAAATGTTTATGGAAAAAAATGTTTATTCCTGAAGATGAAAGACGGAAGTTTGGAAAAGAATGTGACATAAACAGTATATTTCTATTACTGAGGGAAATGCCTTCTGGGTGAATATTACTCTCCCTCTCCCACTGCAGCCACAGTGTTCAGCTTTTATCTTTTGCTATTCAGCAGTAATAGAATATTTTTAAACATTTTATTATTAAATGTCACAATAAGAGCTAAATGTTTTAATATCCAGAATATCATGTTCTTTTCTGACAGTTTAGATGTAACTCTGAATGTATAAAGGCCAGATGGAAAGTAGTCTGTTCGAYTGGACATATTCATTTAATGTGTTATGTACAAACATCTTGAAATAAAGAATATATCTGAATGCCGCTGTGCTTGGCTTAGCACTTGGGCACCTGGAGGTTTTATGTGACCATCCTACTACAGGGAAGAGAATCACATTTCGCATACTTCAAAAGGAGAGGTGTATTTATCCCAGTCACTGCATCTCCCTGTCTCTGTAGCGAGAATAGCACCTAATTCTACCTACCCTTAAATTCTGATCGCTTAAAAAAAATAAATAAAGGCAGAAAGCAAGGTTTGTGCTTATCTAGGCACAGAAAAACGAAGATCTTTCAAATGACGACAGCTACTGCAGGTTGAACCAGAAGCTCCTTGGGAASTTTAACACAACTGCTTAAATTAATCTACTTAGTTGTCTGGAAAATGGGATTCTTCTTTTTTTTTTTCTAATGTACACTTATCCTAGCACAGGAAAAGGAAATGTCTAAACATTATAGCCCACCAAATGAAAACTGAATTTAGCTTAATGTCATATACAGTGCAGATCAAAATGTATCTGTTGAGCTTTCTATTCTCAGATATGTCAAATTCTGAAGTTATATTAATGCTTAATGGAAAATTTCACAGTTGAAAATGATTGCTAACAGGAAATTTAGATACTGAAATACCTGAAGAGTAGATGTAATACCAATTGATTTCTTTAATGTTATTTGTGCCAAAATGCTTTTATTAAGAGGTACCTTCTTGGAACSAGTCTTATTAATTGCAATTAAAAATCTGTGGTGGCTTTCCCAATATTTTTGAATAGCAAACTCAATGTGCAATGGCTTTAAGYTCTGGTGCAATCACAAGGGGTGGAGAGGCCTTCAATGCATGAACTTCATTTACATTTTTTGGTGTCACAAGTATCTGTCCTTCATGTGGCCTATCAATTATGCAGTCCAAAACTGTACTTTCAAAACTTCACAGTTTTAAGAACAAATTGTACTAGGCTTRTTTTTTCAGCTCTTGTACTTGAAATGGCACTTTGTTTTGAATCTCTTTGGTTTCTTTCCTTATTATGCATTTTCCTTGGAATAACCTTGCTTAACTTCACACGCATTACAAAAGATACAGTTCTGCCAGTAAAGTCTGCCAAAGTACAGTATTTTTCTCTGCCTTCACTTTCCAAGCACACGGATGAGTATTTTTTATTCTGTAATGTACTTGTCAAAGGCTTAGGTGGGAGCTAGCTAACAGACACACACACCTCATGTTTCTGCACACAGTATTTTATAATYTTTGTGGCCTTCCTACAGCAGTTTCTTCTCCCTGATTCTACTGCATTTCACATATATAACTCTTTCTTAATAGATGGTTACAAGTAGAGGTAATAATGATGGAAAACTTTAGGTATCTGCCTTATATGTTTAGCTTCAAGAGGTTAACCCACACAAYTAGTGCCTTTAGGGGTCGTTCTGCCCTAAATCAGACTCCAGGTCTGACTCAACTGCCAGAGAGACTGCCTAGCAGGTACAGAGGGTGCTCAAGGAAAACAGCTCCCTAGCTTAACATAGCTGATCAGCTAAGCAATGTGAACCCCCCTATACAGTTTCCTAAATTCAGATTTTTTAATTTTTAAAAAAGATAAGTTTACTGCCTGACTTCTAAAGACCAAGATTTAAATACAAAGCAATATTTCCTGTACAAAAGTGTTTGTAAAGCTTGCAGGGCTTTCCATATTTATGCAATGTCCCTCCTCACCTTCCTTCTTCCAAACCATGACATTACTTATTGCAGTATGTTGAGAAATCCTTCCAGCACTGTCTTCAGACTTCACACTCCCTATTAAAATTTAAACTATGTTTTTACTTTCTCCATTCTTGGACTTCCAAAATATGTACTTAAAAGCGTACATGGTCAGCAGTTAAACCATATGATTATGTTAAAATCATTCCCTTACAGAGAGTTTATGCCAGCTCCTTAGTTTGTGCTGTATTATTAACCTACTTAGATCCTTTAGTCTTCCTCTCAGCAGCCAAACTGCTTGTTGGATCGGTGAAATGGCATGTGGGAAGTAGTAGGAATAAGTGTTGTGCTTATAAGTGTGAATAATAAGTGTGAATAAGTGTTCACAAAGAATGAACAAAACATTTCTCATGTTTTACTCCGCTTGTGCTTCTTGCAGTGCTCTGTGATCCGCCCTGTGAGCACGGAGGAACCTGCGTCTCCCAAAACACTTGCTCTTGTGCTTATGGATTTGTTGGTCCTCGATGTGAAACAAGTMTGTATGAATTCAATGAGCTTTTGCTTTTCATTATATGTCTGAAATTGCAGAAAATGATAAGATACAGAAAAAAAGTCTATTTATTTTTCTGTACTTCCCTTCAAAATTATGATTGAATACAGCAAGGAAATCAGAGTATAATATATTGAAGTAATATCCTTGCTAAACTATTTCTGAGCATATTTTTACCAGTAGCATAGCTGTATTATGTAAAAATATGCACATCTATATCAACATTTTCTTCTGGAAAAACAAACAAGCAAAAGCCTCCCTATTATTTATAGTAACGTTTATGAAATTCAAGGTTGTGGGAATGAATACAGTAACACTAATTTTGAGAACACAAAAAGAAAACCATACCTATTAAGAGTCATGTTCCTGTGCAATACAAGCAACAAAAGAGGTTCAATATATAGAGCATCTGGAAAAAAATCAACCTTCAAGCCCTTCAATATTAGCTGAATGGCAAAACATATACAGTTTCTTTATTGCAATGCTCTCTCCTGATTTAAATATCAGGTTGCCCTTGACAGGAATATAATTTAATCTATGAACCAGGATAGCTAGAATATTTAAAAAGCAAAGTATTTTAGATGCAAGACTTTTGATGAAAAGAGAGAATTTAAAAAAGAAAGGAAGGGACAGATTCATCCTAGTTTACATCTGGGAATGACCCCCTTGGTTTCGTTGCTGTTGCAGAGCAGCTTTAGGATCTGWGTCAGTGGTTACAGGTAAGAGATTCTGAACCTGCTCCTCTGCCTGTTTTCTAGTGGTTTGCAGCAGGCACTGTCACAACGGTGGCATCTGTGTGTCCCCAGATGAATGCAAATGCAAAAATGGATGGAGCAGCCCTTCTTGTGAAACAGGTACGTGCTGAGGAGTCACCAGCCTCTCATCCCTTTCGTTGCTCGGAATCCTCCTGGCTGCTGTAGTTCAGTGGTTGTGGTGGGAATACATTCAAATCTGAACTTAGAAACGAGGTTTAGGAAGGCAGGAATAGAATGAGGGCTGTTTAAGTTAGGAAGAGGCTGTAAGCAAGGAACGTGAAATGCCAGGTTAGCGACTTTATAAGGAGTTCTGGTTAATACTGCATAACCAAAGAGAGAAGACAGTATCTTAAAAGGTAGKTTATCACGAACTGTATCACGCTATTAGGTTTCTTGTGGTCGAGTTCTTGCCTCAATTTTGTCACTCCAGAAGACAGAAAATAATAGGTTCACAAGAACTTAACCATTCACCAGCAAAAGTTCAGTCCACTGCTGCCTCCCAGAGTTCACACTATTTCTTCCAGCTGCAAAGGCATTCACAGCAATGCATGCACGCAGGTAAAATCACCTCCATCGGTCAGCACAAAATGATAAGGTGAGGACTGGAATTAACTATCTATTTCTAGCCAGAACTCACAGTTTTGCAGCCTATTTTGAATAGATTTGGCTCCGACCTTTCTCTTTGGCCCCAGGTGCTAGAAGGAGCAGTATTTGCCTTCTCCTCCAGAGACAGAGCAACTGTTGAACTCACCTGGGGACAGTCGTGCAAAACACCCCAACACTAAAAAGGGCAGGCATGAGGACTACCCTAGTGAGTTCCAAGGCTATGAAGGCATTTTGCCTACACCACAGTGACTATTAGATGTCTTAAAGATACTTTCAGCCTACATTACCTTTCTGGGAAGGTGAGAGATGCCATCCTAGCCACCTACCCCTGGGATTGCTCATCATGCAAGTGCTCTTATGAGAGAGCTATTGGGGWCACATAAATTAACCCAGCTAAGGTCCAGGGTCAATGATCTGYGGTGCTAATACCCTGGTACTCTGGCTCCCATCACCTCTCGTTTTCCTGACAGAGGTCAGTTTGTCTGACAATATCCTTCGGGAAAGGCTATCAGACTCACTCTGTGGCGCTTACTTGTTACTAGARAGTGTGTTTTGAGATGCCTGTTGCCTTCCTGAAGGAAAGCACCCACAGAACATGAGAATCTTTGGGTTTATGCATATATTAAAACAAAAATATAGGTTTTTAGCAGACTTCATCTATGGAACTGCAGACACTGGCAGTATGAACATCTGTGAACTAGCTATGAAAATGAGGCTACTAATCCAAAATCACTATTGGTAATAAATGAAGTCAGTTTTGTTTGTTACTTAGTCTTAAAGTCATGGCATCAAGACTACAATTCCACTTTTTTTTTCTCTTTAAGTTGACRTTTTATTTCTCTTCTTCATTCATCTGAAAAACTCTTGTGATCCTTATCTTTTTTAAGCTTAAATTTATTTACTTTATCCAATGAGCTATTCCATAAGATACTGAAAGAGAAAGGGAATAGAAAGAAAGTGACTGCTTTAAAATGKCATTCTACTTTGTAAAGAAAACTGTATCAGACACCTTATTTTTCACACAGTGGCTGCCCAAGTAGATTAGCCGATTTCCGAGTTCAAACATTTCTTTCAGCACTCAGTTAGGCACTTGCCACATAGGAATATGGAAGGTAGTTTTTAATTCCTAATGCTTGTTATATTATCAGTAGAAATAACCACTAAATAAGTGGGCAAAGAGGGCTTAGCCAGTGGCTCTGTCAGTGATGCAGGAGGCAGAAGGATGTTGTGGGACCTGGCATTTAAATGAGGCAGAACAAGTGGTGGCTTGGCTGCACATACCTATCCAGCATCCCTKAAATGCCACTACACTGCCCAGCATTGACAAAGGTTAATATCCCATCTCCAGGCTAGCAAGCTATAGGTAAAAAGGCTACATTTTTCTGCCTCTGCTAGGATACCAAAATAAAAGAAGATGAACTATGCAAATCACAGAAAGACATCAGAAATAAACTATTAAATTCTATTTTATTTCACCCCTAAAGCTATGCTAAAWCCCCACTGCCATGCTCCTGCTGTAACAACAGTGAGTAAATGCCACACCACAGTACAACTGATCGACAAAGACACTATGAAATTTGTCCAAAAATTACCAGCAAGATTTATTCTCATGACAGGGSCAGCAACAAAGATGTGCTTACTCTAAAAAAAAGTTAAAATGATAAGATTAATAGATTAATAAATTAATAGATTAATAAAATTATCTTATATTTCCATACAGCCGTGTGCAATCCAGTGTGTTTAAATGGAGGAATCTGTGTCAGGCCAGATACGTGCATGTGTCCTTATGGTTTTTATGGACCGCAGTGTCAGACAGGTAAGCAAGTTCTATTTATCATGTTGATAAAGGGTCCAGACTTAAAATATAAAGAGCAGCCTATATCATTGCCTGCCACGGCATGCAGTATATCCAGAGATTTTCCTTGTCAGGACTCCCTGTGTGCTCCTTTGATGCTATAGTCTATCATAAATCCGCGTTAAGTTGTTCTTAAAGGTATTGTGAAGGAGTCAGTACTTATTTATGATGGCATCAATGATAACTAAACAATCTAAAACTATCTGAAGTGATATCACTAATTAGCATCCATACAATCAAAATTTAAAATATGGGTCTACTTTGTTCATTTTACTAACTCTATAGTGCACTGTACTGTTGCTCGGAGTCACAGCCCAGTGAGAATTTATCTCCAAATGGGCTYCACAGGGCCAACCCTTGACCATCTCAGAGCCTAACGGGTGGGAGACTTGCAGAGAACATAACCTCAGAGTCTTCTCATATCTGACCAGACATGGTCACACATGGAATCCATGTTCCAAACGGGGTTCTATCTGAGCTAATAGTTTCTTGGGCTGTTCATTTGCACTACCAATACCAATCTGAAATTAATGAATCTTTTAACTCTTCATTAGTCCAGACAGAATAGACAGAAGACAGAAGGTATTGCTTAGGGTTCAAAGAGGGTTCAAAAACTCCAGTGCTTCACCCATGTGCTCTGCATTTTTGAGGATGGGTTTTATGTCCTCATTTGAATATCAACATATAAATACACTGTTATTAGCAAAGCTAAATTRTTTTAATATTAAATGTATTTTTCTCTCCTTTCCCTGGAATTCCTAGATGAATTCAACTAATGCATATTTTTGCAAGTGAATAATTCACACACAAAAATTAAATTGCAACTGGAGCTTTCTGGAAGTTCTTTGTTTTTTTTTTGTTGTTGGGGGTGAAGGAGAGAGAAAAAATAACACAAACAMAAACTATGTGATCTTTTTCTTGACACCTAACATGGAAGGTGGCTTTCAACATCTGGGTGATCTGGTACTTTTATCCTTAAATATTCTGGTTTAGACCAAAATTTGAAAACAAATTTTCATTTATTGTGATATGGGAAGAGAAGTGAAGCACAGAGAAGAAAATCCAAGTCCTCAAATCGGCTTCATTGGGAAAACAAGAAGGARGAGTGCAAATATGAAACATTACTCTGTATTTCAAGGGCAGCAGTAAATCTACAAAGTTAAAGACCAAAGAGAATCTCTAACATAGTCCATGATATAACTCCAGGTACCTAACAAAGACCTGTAGGCACTAAGACTAGTCTTCCACGTTTTTCTGCAAATGGGAAGAGTTGGGAGCCTCCTCTGAGGCACCTGCCCCAAAGCATCCTTTGGAGGAACACCTCTCCACTGGCTGCAGGCCAGTCCTCCAACACAGACATCTATATTTAGATTCCTAACCTATATTTAAGCAACATTAACATCTTGTATGATTTCAGCGCATCAAATGTTATTTCTCTCCTTTCCTCAGCTGTTTGTGTTCCTCCTTGTAAGAACGGTGGTCACTGCGTTCGAACCAACGTGTGCTCCTGTTCTGAGGGTTACATGGGCAGAAGGTGCCAGAAAAGTAAGTTACAGGACTTCCCTTCGCTCTCCTCTGATCTCTGGCTCATTAACAGTTTTTTCCCCCTTCTGTGCATGTTAAGMAGAATATTTATTTTGGATTAATGCTCTAATCTTCTCTGTTTGTATCACAGTATGTTTGGTAGTACCCTAGGTATAAAACCAACACGTTAATTAGAATACTGTTATGTCAAGTAAATGTTAGGAGTAGAATGTTTTACTGGAATCCTCTATACATATTTCATGAATTTAGACTGAGTAACACACACTGTATTTGGACGATCCAATTTATTGCATGAAAGAATTTGGGGAAAAAAACTTAGAGCCAAAGGCAGAGCAGCTGACTGAGATTCTTAAAAATGTCAAACCATCACAACTGCAGCTTAATTAATACAGTTGGCTAATAATGCTTCAGCCTCTACTTTGTTCTTGTCTCTGAAAACTCCCTCTTCAACTTAGCACTGGTACTCATATGAGATTCCTCTGTTCTTATGGGGAAACAGGCTATCTTGGCACTTTTACAAACTCTGCTGCTCACCCAGGGAGTTTATGGTATGTATGTGACGGGGATTTTTTATATTATTATTATTTCTTAACCAGTTTGAAATTGGCAAAAAGGGAGCTGTGAAAACAACCGTTCTTGGCAGGAAGAATCTGTACATTTCCAGAGCATTTTATGTCTTTCGCACACAGAGGAAAAAAAGCTAGTAAAAAATTCCTTGCAGCAACAGAAGCCCTCTCCGTGCCCATACCAGAGCTCTGCTCTCCTTCAGCTGCGAGAACCGCGGCGCAGAGCTCTGCCTGGCTGCAGAGTGTGCAGTGGAATAGTCTGTTCTGGCAGGAACAAGCTGGAGGGAAGAAAGGAGAAACAACAACAGAAAAAAAAAATATCCTTCTGTTTGGCAACTTGTTTTTGAGTTTAGGGAACATTACTAAAGCACTGTTTCCAGCTTTAAACATGCTGCCGTATCTCAAGGCAGATCAGAGAAAATAAGAGTTGATCAAGATGCAGTTCTAGGCAAGCTTTCCCCTAAATGGTCCAGCTCTACCAACCCGCTATGTTTCTTTCCCCTTTCAGCAGACACATCTGCAATATACCTAGGGGTGTACTCTTATCTCAGTTACACTCACACATAAATGAAAAAGTGGAAAGTAATTTGCTAGAATGAAGAAGTTCCAGTTCCCAACTCATTTTCCCCAAATAAAATGGGAAAAGTATCACAACATCCATTTCACATTTCAAAAAATGGTAACCTGCCATATAACTCATTTTGTCTCATTTGCAGCATTGCTAGCGGTATATAGATATTTTTATACATTTATCAAATAGTGATGATTTACAATGACAAGCAGGATTTTGATAATCCTGCGGCTGCCTTGGCAGCTGGTTCTGTAAAGATGAGCTCAGCCCTGCAGGCTGTGTGCTCGAGTCTTAGAAATCACCCTGGGAAAAGAATCAATGCGGAGCTTCTACTAACCTCCCTGGAAGCGGTGACGGTGAGAATATGGGAAGGAAAGAATGAGAACAAGAACACTAGATTACTAGTGGGTAGAAAAGATTTTCTCAGAATTTAAGTCTTTCCTGTTTGCCTTTAAGGCCCCATGTAATACATCTGTGTACTGCGTAAGAATTAAAATTTTGTTCACGATTTATTACTGGCTATGGTAATTATACGGAGTCACAATATCTTTGCACAAAGTGCAAGGAAAAGAAATACATACAGGAGAATAGCAAAACTACAACTAGAAACAAAGGTTGCTGAATATTACTGGATAATACTGCAGGAGCTCCCATTTGCAAATCCTCAGGACAATTTATCTCCATTTCAGAGGAACTCAAATGTGAACCTGTGGCTCAAATCACAGCTCAGTAGTACCCAAAGCACCGACAGCTGCCAGGTTACCCCGTGCTGAGCAGGCACAGCTGGCTTAGCCAGAACGGGGCATGTTACAGTTCTGAGAAAAACAATTCCTCGTGAGTGGCTTCATCATTATTTTAATTGCTCTTTGCTTTCTGAATATGAACTTCCATTGTCCTTAAGCCCTTGTCCACTACTAMAAGGGTTTCTCCCCTTCTCGTGTAGTTTCTCCCAAGCTCTGGCACTGTATCAGCTTCTCTATGGACTTACACTCAGTCTCGAATCTTGGAAATGTTGGGAGGATTTACTGCCTCCCTAACAAAACTGATCAAGGTTGAGTGAGTAAATAGGATTATCAAAGTCTGAAGATGTTTCCTACCATTTATGTGAGGTAGAGCAGGCTGATACTCTTCATCGTTAGATTTGGAAAATACTTGCTGTTTTGGGAAACTTCCAGTGGACCAGAAAACCTGAGAAATACTCTTTTCAGAAACCATGATCCCAACTAAAGTGTTATCTTCCTGAGCCTGCAGTCAACGCTTGAAATCAGCAGGCTTTTCAGTTTTGCCTCTGCTCGTACACTACAATACCTGGTTTATACACAGTTACCTCTGGCATCTTCTAATAGAGGTATCAATTGTATTAATAAAGCCAATAAAGCTCTAATTGCCCAAATAGGAGGTAATTCATCCATTAAGATTTCGTCTAATCTTGGAGCTCTAATATGCAGCAGCCTGGGTCAGACGTTTGCCCTTCTACCAATAAAATACTAATAGTTTGGGCTGTTTATCCAGTAGTTAACAGGTAGAAGTATTTCCTTCATCTTAACAAACATGATAGAAAGACACCCTAAAATTCTTAACTGAAATAGCAGAATAGTCTAAACAAATAGTGTATTTGTCATGACAMATTTTTACTCAGTTTTAGGTAGGAACAATGTCTAGAGGCAAAGATAAGGACAAGTTCAATCAGCTTTTTGAGTAATTGTCCCTGGATATTTTGGCACTGTGTCTACTGTTTTTATACATTTCTCTTCTTAATATCTCACTGGCAGTGGCTGAGAAAGCAAAGCTTCTGTTTGCTTTTGGCAGCTTGAGATCCTCAACTGAAGGACGCAATTAAAACCAAGAGCTACGTCAGCCCATCAAAGATGTGCTATTTCTAAATAGAGCCCAAAGTTGCTGTTGTTGGTTTCTTCGAAATCCATAGCAGCGTGCTTTGGGTTCCTCCTCGCTCCCACTCTGGTACCATTTGGCTCTTTGAATGTCTGTCTGACAGCTAAAACTTGCCAGTGAGAGAGGCGGCCCCACGGCCTGGCCACGCAGCCTCCCTCTCGCTGCCTTCACGTACGGAGAAGGGCATTCAGCCTGAAAGTCGCTGTTTGTTCTTCGTGCCTACAAACGCCGTCTCCAAAAACGTGTAAATCACCCAAGTCTGATTGGCTGCCAGCGGAGACAGAAGGATTTGCCTGGTGTGTTTACTGATAAATAACGGCGTGGTGATTATGCAGCCCTGCCACCCACGCCCCGCATGAGAGGGTGTCAGAACTGACAATGAAATGGATGGTTATGCATCAGCAGTCRTACAACAACCTTGTATCCCCGCTCGCTAAGAATTGTTTTCAATATAATCTGTCTCGTTGAGCATAAAGAGGCAAATGCTGGCAGGATCTCAAAATAAAACATATTTCTGGATCACCTTTGCATCAAACAAACRCTCTCTGTTTTAATAATAAGGAAAAGCTACTGTCGTTTTTTTAATTCATGCACAGTCATAATACTCTTGGAATTTTATGACTTTCTGTGAGGCTTTCCCACAGTGTACACATTGATTTCTATCACATCCTTGCAAAAATCAAAGGCAAAGAAGCTAGGTCAGATTCCATTCATCTGCTATGTGTGTTTTTGCAAGTGTCCTTTATAAGTAATTTTTTTGAAAAGAGAGAGCTAATAAAAGCCAAGTTTACTTTTCTTATGAAGGGCTGGAGCAAAAAGGAAGGGCAGAGGAATGAAGGGATTCACGGGACCACACATTTATCCCTCCTTTGCTGCTATCGGCTTCTAGCGAGTCCATCTCAGAGTGAAAAGGCAGGGCAAGCTCCCTCTGGAGCTCATCAGCAAGCAAAGGGCACTGGAGAACAGCGCTGAACATCCTCCTGCTCCCTTCCCCTGAATACCAAGCGATCCTGCAGCCTGATCCCTGCTTTCTCTTGCAGCAGCAGCCCTTCTCGCCCCTTGTCTCCCAGCCAAGCTAGCTGTGTTTTACAYACTGCCTTAAAACAGAGACCACGTTTCTGCACCCATGTATTTTATTCTGCCAGGCCCAATCCTGCAGGCTCTGTATCACATAAATCATTACGCTGACATTTGGACTTTGCAGATTGRAGCTCCAAGTCAGTAGATAACTATTTCTCCATTCCAGTAATTCCTGCTGGCAGGATTTATACCCAGTCACAGTGCACAGTGGAACTCACTCCCATTCTTCCAGCTCTGCTTTCCTCTCTTCCTTGTCTCTTTTTCCTTCTCAGTAACATGAGGATTTTATTGCATGAGGGCTAGAACCAAACTGATTTGGAAATCAGTTTCAAAGGCATCTTTGGCCAAGTGATGCCAGATTGTGAAAGTCACTGATTTCCTGCATTCCAGCCTTCTCATGCAAAGTATGTGCAGATTACTGCCCGGTGAGCTGCACAAGCAGAAAGCTGTATTGCTCTAAAAATTACACCTCCAGCAAGTTATCATTATGACAACTGGCAATATATTATCAGGAATATCTTCACTGAGCAGACAGATTGATTCAAGCCATCTAAAATCAGCCAGTTTGGTCGAAAGAGGTTGAGCAAACCCTCCCACATAACTGAATGGGAAACAATCCATGAATGCAGCCTAAGTGAATGAAAAATAATGTGTGTTTAGACTTTCCTGTGTTGTGGTTGGGCTCATGAGCAACAACTAGTTGTCCAACATTTCTGATACCCTGGGACGTTGGGTGTCTGGAATAACTAAATAGTTGCTCATAGCAGAGAGACATGTAACTTACTGCTAAAAGCACTAGACGCAAGTAGATAGATTGGAAGATCTGGTAGATACATAGTGCAGGACACAGTTAGATGCTGACAGGATATAGAACAGAAAACATTTAAGAA